TAAATTTATGTCCATGCATGCTTGCAACACACCGAAGGTCCACTTTAGGCTATAAAATGAACATATTGCATGTATACACTCTCAGACTCTGGAACCCTCATTCCTATGGAAGTAATTAAATTATTCAACTATAACCCTCTAGAGGTCATATAGAAGCCATGCATACGCTCTCAGCCTCTGGAACCCTCATTCCTATGGATGCCCAAGAGAAAGTCCCAAAACCAAGCCCTAAACTACAAAAGATGAGATCTAATAAGTTACATGTCAAGGTTGGGAATTTATACCCCCAAGACGTAGCCTTTGATGTAGAGATTTTGGATCCAAGTTCACTCCTCCATGCTTGATACTTCTCTCTTCATAACCTTTTTTAAACATCTCAAATAATCACTCATACACTAACAAAACTTAATGAACAAGTAGAAAACAATTCTAGAGTTTTCTCTGTGAAAAGGTGCCAGTAAGGAGGTTAGTCCTAGGAGTTAATGATCTTTGTATACGATGGAATGCCCGAAAATTAGGGTTTTCATCCCTAGCGTCTACTCGTCGAGTTGGGTCTCCCCAGCTTTTCAAGTAGATCTTCCGATCTGTGAGGATGGAAGGCTTTTCAAGTAGAATTTATCCTCAAAGTCTGTTGATGCAAAAAGGTTTGGATAATGCTCCTTCATCTCATCCTCCAAGTCCCAGGTCCATTTGGAGCCTCTTTGGTGCTGCTATTGCTCCTTACCTAGCCTCACTTCTTGGCTCCGAAGAAACTTAGTCATCCTATCAAAAACCGCAATTGGTTTCTAAATGTAGTTCAAGATCTCATGTACCTGAATGGCATCCAAAGAGATAACTTCAACCTCGTTAGTAACACACATCCAAAGCTAGGACACATAGAAGGTGTTATGAATCTGTCTCAACTCATCCGGAGGGTGTAGTCAACAAGCAACGCTGCCGACTTGGAAGAAATGCTGAACAGACTAATAAATCTAGGCCCCAACTTGATCCTCTTCCGAAACCTAATGACACCATTCCATGGTGAGACTTTCAACAAGACAAAATCTCCCACTTGGAACTCAAGCTCCGATCAGGCGTAGGTCAGCATAAATCTTCTGACGGCTTTATGTTACTCGCAGGTTTTCTGAATTGTTTGCTCACTCTTACCATCGGTCTGAGTGTAGTAAGCAGTGCTGAAATGTAACTGGGTACCTAATTCTTCATGGAAACTCCTCCCAAACCTGGAGTTGAATCGGACATCATGGTCCGATACCACATACATCGGCACTCCGTGCCTAACCACCACCTCTCGCATATTGATATCTGCTAATTTCTTAACAAAGATACTCTTGGAGGTCAGAATTAAATAGGAATTATTCATCAACCTGTCCACAATGACCCAAATGAATTCCACGCCACTTGTTGCCCTCAGTAACTTCGTGATAAAGACCATAGTGATATCTTCCCATTTCCACATGGCAATAGGTAGCGGCTGATCATTGCCATGAGGCCATTGATATTCGGCCTTGACCTTCCTGCATGTCAAATACTGCTCCACAAACCAAACGATCTCCTACTTTATGCAGGGCCACCAGTAACTCAACCTCATATCTTTGTAAATCTTTGTGGCCCCCAGGTGAATAGAGAACTTGGATTTCTGCACCTCCTTCAAGATCTTTTGTATCACTCCCCTAAATACTGGTACCTACACCCGACCACACTTTGTCAAAAGACCCCGACAATACTGAACAAACAAAGGAACTTCCCACAAATCCGCTCTATCTTCCATTTTTCATTCTTCAAACCCTCCACCTAAGCCTCCTTGATCATATCAAACAAGGAGTAAATCATCGTCATCTTCAAACAAACATCTCCAATCGGAGTACTCACCGACTTGCGGCTTAAGACATCAGCCACCACGTTAGCCTTCCCTGGTTGGTACAAAATCTCGCAATCATAGTACTTCAGTATATCCAACCACTTCCTGTGCCACATGTTGAGGTTCTTCTGATCCATCATATGCTTCAAAAAAATTTAATCAGTATAAATGGTGCACCAAACTTCGTACCAGTAATGCCTCCAGATTTTTAGGGAAAACATCACCGCCTCCAATTCCAGGTCATGTGTGGGGTAGTTCACCTTGAGAGCCTTCAACTACATTGAGGCGTACACAATCATATGCCCCCTCTACATCAAAACAACACCTAAGCCTATGATAGACGCATCACAATACACCACCAAATCATAAAACATCACAATCCACCACCAAATCAAATTATCGAAAGACGACTGCTTATCCCAGCCCTACCGAAATCTCCCATTCTTCTTCTTAAAGCGAATCAAAGATACCAAAATCTTAAAGAAATCCTAAATAAATCTCTGGTAATACCCCGCTTGGTGCAAGAGGCTACAAATCTCAGATGCATTCTTTGGTATTTCCCATCACATCACTGCCTCAATCTTGGCTGGATCAACAAAAGTAATGTCTTGGTTGATGATGTGCCCCAAAAACCGCACCTCACGCAACTAGAAAACACACTTTGAGAACTTGTCATAATGCTTTTCCGCCATCAGTGTCCCCAATACCTCGTTCAAATTCTGCTCATGCTACTCCTTAGTCTTCGAATAGACCAAGTTAGAATTCAGTACAAATAGTCAAGCAGTGAAGGTATTCCAAGATACAATTTGGGTACCTAAGATGGGAGAAATAAGGGATCTTCTGTTGGAAGAAGCTCATAAGACAATGTACCCAATACTTCTGAGTAGCACTAAGTTATATACAGTTCTGAAACCTTACTACTAGTGGCAGACGATAAAGCTCGATGGTGAAAAGTATGTGGCCGAACAACGGCCACCACATAGTTCAGGTAGTCGTGGATTGTTTGACAAAGAATACACACTTCAATGCAGCCAATGAGAAGTTGTCTCTGGATAAGTTTGCAATTGCTTACGTGAAAGAAGTACTAAGACTTCACGGTGTTCCTTTAATGATTGTAGCAAATCGTGACAATCGTTACACATCAAGGTTTTGGAGAAGTCTCCAAGAGGAAATGGGAACAAAGTTATGTTTAAGTACATCTTACCATCCATAGACTGATGGTCAGATTGAAAGAACGATTCAAACACTAGAATATATGCTTATAGGATGTACCCTAGAATTCTAAGCTAACCCCAGATTAGCACTTACCCCTAGTAGATTTTTCCAACAATAATAGTTACCATTCGAGCATCAAGATGGCACCTTATCAAGATTTGTATTGATAGAAGTGTCATATGCTGTCTTGCTGGCTTGAAGCTGGAGAAAAGCAGTTTATGGGCCCCGAGATAATCCATCATATTGTTGAAAATATGAAGGTGATTAGAGAAAGGATGTTAGCAGCTCAGGATCGTCAAAAGAGCTATGCTGAAAGAAGAAATGACCGATGACATTCGAAGTTGGAGATTCGGTGTTGCTCAAGGTCTCACCATGGAAGGGACTTATAATATTTGGGAAGTGAGGAAAGTTGAGTCCATGGTTTGTTGGGTCGTTCAAAGTTCTTCAGAGGATTGGGAACCATGCTTACATGCTACAGTTTCTAGAAGAACTAGATGGTATTCGTAAACCTTTCAATGTGTGTTACTTGAGGAAGTTCATGGGAGAAGTTCCATATATAATTTGATTTTCAGAGTTGATGATGGATGAAAATAAGAGGCTAATCAAAAAGCCTAAAGCAATTGTTGACCGTAAGACTTAGACATTGCGATGCAAGATGGTTAACTTAGTTCTGGTGTGATGGAAACATATGAATGGGCCGAACCTCACCTGGGAAACAGAAAGTGACATTGTGAGTCACTATCCACATCTGTTTGCTGATGCATGATACTGGGACGGAATCATCCTAAGGTGGAGAGAATTGTAATGCCCATGTTTCAAGGCTAAACATTAGTATAATGATATAATAGTTAGGGTGAACAATTTTAAACTACTTTGAAGTAATAAAGAGAAATTATTTAAATATTATGTGATTAATGTGCATTCTACTTATTTATATGATTTAATAAAAATAAGCATCAAAATTAAAATAATAGATAGACCCAATATCTATGAAGAAAGCTGTTGTGGTCGGGACAAGGATTCCAGAGATATAAAGAGCGCTAAAATCCGAGTTTTAACGAAGAAGTAATGACCTGTTGAAGTTTCACAACAAAACCGGCACGACACCGAGAATCATATAGAGTGAATTTATGATAAATTACTTTTTAACCTTAGTTATCTAATGAAAGTTGTAGAGTATGTCTCAACTTACATTGTTGCCTTACAGAAAATTATTGTTGAGGAACCCCCATAACATTAGTGTTCATCCTGATGAAAATCCTTAGGATAGGTCCCTTACGATAGATGTTTTACGGATGTAAGGTGAAGATAACGGGAATGGGTAATTAGGTTGATTGATTTAATGAAAATAATAAACTTAATTATTGTGGGTTGAAAACCTTATGTGCTCACAAGGCGCCCAAGCCCGACCCACATAGTTTTCTCGTAAACACGTAGTGGCTAGAGAGCACAGGAGTGATGATTTGATGAGAAATTAATGGATTATATGCCACTAGAGTAAATAGATATTATAAGGCGTATGTTGTGTATGTTTATGCTTTTGACCTGTATTAACAATGATATCCCAAGTTTTTTAATATAACACATTTATTCAGAAATGCTTTGATAAATTCTTTATCATAATTTTGGGAAGAAATTGTGCAATATATATATTTTTTTTCAAAATATACTTTGATTTTCAAATAATACATAAACAAACAGGTGTTTTCTGACTGTGAAATTGGGGATGACACACTTTCCCATTCATTTCTTAAGTTGATGGAGGTGGCTTCAAAGTTGATCCACCAATAGATGAGCTAATAACTACACCCTTTGTAATAGGCATTGAAGTTATGGTTGTTGAAGAAGTTCTCATTGATGTTAGGAGCGAAGTATAAATCTGTGTGCTTATAACCTTCCTGAAAAGTTTTCCTTTGGTAGGATCTTTCTAAGAACCAATGTCAACACCTTTCGAAACACTAGTACCAACACCATTCTCTCCCCCTTGAACCCCGATGTGAACAGGCAGGGCATCAATTGAAATCAAATGAATAAGTTTCATAACCGGAGCTAACTCATATTTGAGATTATACTCGAGGGACGAAAGCTTCTGAGAAAATAAATTGGGAGAACCCGAAGATTGTGGAGAATAACCAAGCTTCCAAATTAAGTCTTTCAAGCTTCTCAACAACTCCTCCAGTTTGGCAAAGTTCAAAGAATCAGACGACGACTTTGCTTCAAGCTTTTTTAAAAGAGAATTTTGAAGCTCAACCACTTTCGCAACAACAGCAACAATAATATCAACTTTCGTATTAAGAGTTGAGCAATTATAACCAAGATTAACAACCTCCTGCTCTATTTCTAAATGAATTTCTACAATCTTGAAATTGACATCCTCATGTGCTCGTTTGACTACCTCAACAAAAAGAATATGTATTTATTTTGCAATGGCTCGTAAATCCTTTACCTCATGAATAAATGAATAAGACTGCTACTTTAAACGTTTCTCAGTCTTTAAGTCTATATGTTCTATCAATGCTTTCAGACGTAGTTCTTGGGCTTTGAGCATAACATTGACTTCAATCCCTTGTACACTATGACAATTTCTAGCATCTAATAGAAGTTGTAACAAAGAATTAAGCTTTGTGTTTAGAATCTTGAACTGCTTCCTAGACATGAGCATGTGATTGAGAATATTCTCCTCCTCCGGATCAAATTATATATCAGCAAAAGAAATCATTAGATCATCCTCATCAATGTTATCATTAGGAATAGATTTTGGTCCTTTAGTGGATTGAGAAGGTAATGGGGATATGATAGGCTAATCAATTATGTTCGAGAAAGTTCGTGATATTGTAGAAACAGGAAAAGATGAGGGATCGGGTGAAACAAATGGTGGTAGCAAAGTGGAAGTATCAAGACTAATGGGTTTCAAATATTGATGAAATAATGATGGAAACATATATGGTGGTCGTAGAGACATTCAAAATACATTGAGCTTCAGAAGTCGACACCCCCTCACCCAGGTTGACATTTATGTCCATATTAGACATGTCCATAGGGATTCCTAAAGTTCGAACCTCCTCCATATTGGACTTGGCAATCAAATTCGGGTGGAATGACCAAAGTCTACTAAGGGATGGATAAAAGAGATGAATCACCCAGCATAGTAGTTGTGTCCACATCAGATGCTTTGAAAGAGCCACCAGAACTTCCTATCGCCTCGATATGCAACTTAACATGGGAGCCCATCTAAGATGAATCAAAGCCCATATCATCATAACAAATTACAGACTGAGACTTACCACTATCTTCAAATTTTGTCTCGACAACAACCTCATCCAAATTATATTCTAGTTGCTTTCACTTCCTTTTGATTTTCTTTACCATGTCACGATCTCCTCATTTCTTGGAATCTAGAGAAACAGGGATAGGAATTTCCCAAATAAGTGTAAGTCCCCAAAATCGCTTGATGTATCAATCTGATCCACTTGATGGTGCGAAATCTCAATCAAGTGGATGATGCAAGATAGAATGGATTAGAAGATGAACAAGAAGTTGCTGAATCTTGAATGTATTGATGAATATGAATGATAATCCATACATAAGATTCACACACACTAGTTCTCTATCTAGCACATGATATGAATGAATGCTCTCTTTCCCTCACACTTCATGCTTATATATATATATATATATATATATATATATATATATATATATATATGTTGGGTTTTGAGCATTCTAACACTCCTAAGTGTACATGCAACCCTAAATACCTTGGATCTATGTTTTCTCTATTATACATGCAAATATGAATATCCAAGGTATTATCCTAATCTAGCATACAAAATAATGGATATAACAAGATAGAATACATACCTCTTTAATGGTGCTTGTCTTCATGAAGCATGAGTGCTTAGTGCCCCAAGTGTGACACCTCAAATGGTTCACACAACACCAAATACTCTTGGAAGAACTTGAGAGAATTCTATACTTCATAAAATCGGCTAGCCCTCTCTAGAATAATCTAGTGCACGATTTTGGGAAGAATAATATCTTTATATAGTGTTACAATTAGGGTAAACCCTAATTGTCATGACTTTCCATTTCCTTGGATCCATGGGTTCAAATACACCATGGAGCATCCATGGAGCATCCATGGAGCATCATATGGGTTTTGGCCCAACTAGATAATCCATGGAGCATTAGCCCACTATATAAGTATGGATGATTTACACAATCAACCCATATATTTAATTAGTCTTCTTTTGATCACTTAATTAATCCTAGATTAATTCTTGATCAATACTAATTAAATAATCTTATTATTCTTATTATTAATATACTAGAACTTATAATATATTAATAACCATAAGTGTCTTATTTCTCTCATTATAGTCTATCCAAGTGCATGATGCCATGCAACCCAAATGGACCATGCCGGGTCGGGTCAAGTCTTACCAATTATAGTTATGGACTTAGACATTAATCCAACAGTCTCCCACTTGGATAAGTCTAAAACTATTATTGCGTATGACTTCAGGAACCAACTGGCAATCGTAGCTCTCAAAAGCTTCTGTCGAACTCTGACCTTGTAGATGAACTCTGATCTTTGTCAATGACTTGTCCATTAGATAAGGGATCATATATTCCTCCATTCTAGATATCATATGGACTGAGACATGGATTATAATCATTCTCTCTGTCCATTAGTTGTTTCCCGATTTCCGATTTATGACGACTGACTAATTGAACAAATCAAATCAGTCCTGGCCCGGCCGAGCACTTCCATTTGTCATCATCAAATCATCGAGGGGCCCACAGATATCGCTTTTATCCCGAAGGTAAAAGGAATGGATAAACTTCGACTCATATGGCTTGTTCTACTACTTGTTGAATCATACACAAAGACACGTTTTATAACATCGAGTTACCAATGCGTTTCGTGCAATCAATGTACTATCAACTCATAGTAACAACTCATATCTCTAGGTTTGAAGAATATAAGATATTATCGTCTCATGATCACTCGTGATAAAATCCATGAAGTGATTCCAATGAGCGCGGGTTGAATCCAATACTCAGAACTTATGAGCACTCATGAGTGTTGTAGCCCTTTGTCCAACACTTAGACCTCTACAAGCCAACCCATGACAGTCTTAATTCATATCTACTTCCAACATATGACCGACTGTGGATGGTTTGAATAACTTAGTCATTCCGGAAGAATAACCTAGTTTATTCGGGAAGTCAAAACATGCAAAGTGAAACACAATAATAATTGAATCCAATATGGTCTCAGAACTTATGAATATAAATAAAACTCCTTTTATTTATCACCATATGATTACACATTATTCATTGTATATTGTTTCAGCTATCAACATTATTCTTGAATTTAAAACAATAGTTGTCCCATGCTCCAAGCATGTACACTATGTTTTCTAAACACTAGTCATGCCATACACCAAGTATGCATATATGTTTGTCTATGATCTTTACTTTGTGAACTAGATCAATTGAACATAACTTCAATGATTCTCTTTTCACACTCCCAAATCCTTACTGCAAATGCAAGAATTCCAAATTCATGTCATTTACTGAAATCTGTTAGATTCTAAACTTATATGCATCGATCCTCTTGTAATGATTATGCACAAAGTCAGAAAGACTTAACAACAATCATTACAGAGCATTCCAAAGGAGATCAAGTCCTTGGAACCATCCTTCTTGCATTAAGTTTCCTTAATCTTACACAGATTGAAAATTCTAACTTTGAAACATTTCCAGATTCCATTTCGACTATCACTTCTGAACAAGAGTTGCCTCCTTACAGATTATGTCAATATGGTCCTTCCAGAATTATCACTATACTTCCAATTGTCCTTGAGAAACCAATCTTTGGTAAACCTTAGATTGTCCTCGACAATTGTTTAATCCTTTTAGTCATATCCAGTTCTAAACCTTTTCCCTTCTTAATGCCCTAGGCATTTGGAAAATTTTAGAAAGGATGAATATAGCACATGTAATCGATCCTATATCCGAAGCATATGGGACACGATTCATGATGTCTCACATAAAGACTAAACCAGTCTTTTGCTATAACATTTCCATTTCAATTTGCCAAGTTCTCATAATTCAGATTATGAAAAGGGATGCCGTAATCATAATCGAATTTAAGAACGCAAATAATGGACCCATATACAGAATTTCCTTATGTTGAGCCATTCCAACATGAAATTCATATATATCCTTGACTAAATGATTAAAACCTCACGATCTAAGCTTATAGATTTGAGATGAAGTATAATTTCCTCTCCCTTAATTATAGCAAAACAACTTTTTCCCAATTGAAACCTTTTGTTTTCTATAATTAACATTGCTAGCTTGCAATACTTATCGTAATTATCATGCTCCCACTAACATGATGATTATTAGCATAACACTTATGCTCCCACTAGCTTTGACATATACTCAGAAAGCTCGACTTCTAGAAATCAATACTTTATTGACTTTCTTACCAAAGTTCAGATTTCTGATACTAGATTGTTTTGATAAGACTTTATCAAAAACATACACCTTCCCTTAGATAGCTCATGGGTGTGTCAAAACAATTTTAAGAACTATGAAAAGGGATGCCGTAATCATAGTCTTGATCGTTTTGACCTTTGCCATTTCTCACAAGTCCAAGTTAGTGTGCCGGTAAACCACACACGCTCCACTAACGACTTTGAGATCACAATTGCTATCTAGCTAAAATCTACTTAGTGGAAGTGTTTCCTCACCATCATTTTCATGAATCGGAGAGAAACCTTATGACACTTAGATTTAATGGTGTATGAGTTCCTACCCATATGAATTTGTCAAAACCATAATCACAAGACAAGGATAATGACAAATCCAAAACCATATGGATTGAACTCAATCTTAATTTCTTGCCACCTGGCAGCTCAAGGGCCTACCATTGCTTCCAAGTTGTTGTGCAACACATTGAGAACTCTAAGAACTCATATGCAAAGCCAACTTTAACTAGAATGGGCACAGAATATGTCAACACGATAGGTTATAAACCTCAAGTCGTGTGCTAGTGAAGAACTTCAGGTTTCATTCTTGATTAGTTCTTGAGAATTTCAAGACCTTTAAGACTCCCACTGTCCTCTTGACCTATAAGACTCCTTGTCAAACATCCAAGAGATAGTGTGGATTCTAATCAAGACAAACACTTCACACAATTGGCCTAAGTTGGTCTTTGTTTTATCCAAAACATCACAACTTACCAATTTCAAATGTACAAGAGTAGAAAACTTTTACTCTTACATTTGTCAAGTGTTTTAAACCTTCTTTAAGACATGTCACTCAAATTACAATCTTGGAGTATGACTCTAAGACTTGTATTGGAACGAAGTATGACTCATCTTCTTGATTTAACCATTTCAACAATTCAAGATCCCTTCTTCTTAGTCATAAGAATGCACTAAGACTTCCTTAGAGAACTAATTTTGATATGGTTTCTTAATCATTAAGATGATCACAAAGCTGATACTAAAGTACTCTCCCATCTTTTCAGATTTGAGAAACTTTTATCCTTCTGCCTAATTTGATTCTTCTTATTCGCTCTGCCTTACATTGGAACCTTTTCCAATGTCTCAGAGTTACACTTAAGCTTGTAAGTATAATCAT